TGTGGTGCTGGGGGATTGAACCGCAGTCCCTGTGCTTTGCTTAGCTTAGCTTGTTCTAAGTAGGTGCTTTAGACCACTGAGCCATCTCACCAGCCCCTTGTCTCTGATTTTAGTATACGTATATAATCCTGATCCTGTTTGTGGCTTTCTCTTTTGCCTGTAGCTACTTCCTCCCTTTCATCTCTTGTCTTCCAGGCCATGATGGCGGCATGATTGTATTTAAATTGGAACGAGAACGGCCAGCCTATGCTGTTCATGGCAATATGCTGCATTATGTCAAGGACCGATTCTTACGTCAGTTGGATTTCAACAGCTCCAAAGATGTAGCTGTAATGCAGTTGCGGAGGTAAGTGAGAATTTTCTTTTTAAAACCTTTCAGCTGTCACTGTAATAAATCACCCACGAGGGGCCATGGAGATGGCTCAGTGGAATAAGCACTTCCCTGGCAAGTGCAAGGACCTGAGTTCAATTCCTGGTTCTGCCAAAAAAAAAAAAAAAAATCACCCGTGAATAGGACTCTTTCTGCTCAACAGCCTTTTTTGTTGTTTTTTGTTTTTTGGTACCAAGGATAAAACTTAGGACCTTGCCAGGCAGGTTCTTATGCTGCTGAGCTATCTCCCCAGCAGAAGAACCTTTTGGATCTTATCTCTGGTCTCAGATGGGATCCCCATTGGGTGCTCTGCTCAGTTTAAACCCTAGCATGATAGATAAAGGGGTGGCCCTGAGTAGATTGGAAATTCCCTGATAACCCTAGGGTAGGAGGTGACACTGCTCTAATTTGCCTGGTCTTTTGTAAAGCAGGCAAAGTTCCTTGGTAGAAAGTAGTCTAACTTGGTGATGGGCCTTCTTGCTTTTTATTTGACATTTCTGTCTTGAGGGAAAAACTCGTGGTATAGTAGGTGATAGATCTAAATGATTATAGTACAGGGTGATAAGTACTATGACAAAGGTTTGTACAAGAGTTACAGTTTTTCGTAACTCTTCCTTTGCTTTCCAGCAAAATACACACAACCCTAAACTAGAATATATGTCTCTGGAAACTCTTAACTCTGAAGAGAGGATAACCTCTGGGATGCCTGGCAAAAAGAACTGTCCTTTTGGAAAGCCAGCTGCATCAGCATGCTGAAACATTCATGGTGGCAAACATTGGCATGCGGGTTGATAACCACCCGCTAACATCACTACAATAAAATGATAAGTTTGTGCAAACAGTCCAAGGGACAGGAGAAACCAGCCAGAGACAGATCCCATCATGTTACTCTGTGGTGTCCACTACAGTTATGTGTAGGAATTCACACATTAGCAAAACCAGACGCATTACAGTGAATGCTAATCTTAGCCTCTGGGGAATAATAGGACTCCAGTAGTGTTTGCTTTTTTTTTTTCTTTTTGCAGTACTGGGGATCAAACTCAGGACCTTGTGCTTGCCAGACAGGTGCTAATGCCACTGAGCTATCTTTTGGGCCCTCATGTCCGCTTTTTTGAACTGTTAAGTTCAGAAGCCTTAAAGCAGTGATGATGAACTTTTAGAGTCTGAGTGCTCAGATTGCAATCCAAGACCCACTTATTTATCACAAAGCATCACCGCTACTCCTATCTAGGTACACTATTTGATGCTCAGATGCTGGGGTGACTAGGGCTCTATGTGCCTGCTGTAGCACACATAGTATAGGTTCAGCACCATGATCTTAAAGGGAAGAGCAAATAAAAATGCAGTATTTATTTATTTTTATTCCTGATTATAAAAGCAGTGGGGGCCAGGGAGATAGCTCAGTGGCTTAAGTACCTACCTGGTAAGCACAAGCTCCTGAATTCGATCCCCAGTACTAAAAAAAAAAAGCAATGGGTATAAGTATAAAGATTTGGGTAGCACATGCCTATAATCCCAGCACTTGGGAGGCTGAGGCAGGAGGATTGCTACAAGTTCAAGGCTAGCCTGGGCTATATGGCCAGACCTGTATCTAAAAAAAAAAAAAAAAATTGGTAAGTAAAAGATGAAAGGTTAACTATTCTTCCTTCTATTTCTTGTTTTCTCCTTTTTCTTGATATATCTCCAGTGGTTCCAAATTTCCAGTGTTCAATATGTCATACAATCCAGCAGAAAATGCAGTCCTACTGTGCACAGTAAGTAACCTATGGTTCTTCTCATTTTTCATAGATATCTTTCTTATGCCCTTAGGGCATTGCTATTAGATTTTCAGAAGTTGTTTAAGTTTCATAAGAGCTACTACAGTGAATACTCAGAGATTCACACCAGGGAGGCTTCAGGTGGATGTTGAAAGTTTGTGAGTTTAGATCTTTCATAAGGCTAACAGCAAGTCTCAAAGTCATGCTCTCGATCCCTGAAAGTGATGGAGAAAGTGTTACAACTATGTGCAAAGATGCTTGTCTTGGCCCTCCCTGTGTATGAAAGTAGAAGAGTGATGATTTTAAAAGCTAGTCTCAGGGGCTGGGGAGACAGCTCAGTGGCCTAAGCATCTGCCTGGCAAACGCAAGGACCAGCTCAATTCTTATACCACACACTAGGCCAGCCCTGCCCCGGGCACATGGAGCAAGCCACTGAAACTGAACATGGTGGCCTATGCCTGTGATCCTAACACTGAGGTGGCTGAGACAGGAGAATCGCTGAGTCTGAGCTGCATAGCAAGACACCGTACCAAATAAATAAATGAATAAATAAGTAGCTAGCTCCTAGATAATTTGCCTTCAGAGTCATTAAATCCCTTTCCCTTTCTTGCCATGCAATTTACGAAAGAAAATTGTAATTTTAGTGCCTTGGTAATCAAACATAAAATGAAAACCATATAACTTCTAATATCTATTATTGGTCCTTTAATATATAGTTGCTCTGTTTTTCCTCATAATTATCTTTAATGTCTTTTCCCTTTTAAGTTGACAGATACTCTGAGGTGGGATACCCTAAGACATTAGGGTCTTAGTCTTTTAATTTGTAGAACAGAGAAAAATCCTTGCTTTGATTTGTGTAATATCTGTGACTTTAGAGAATAAAAGAAATAAAATGGCATTGGTGCTCAGTTGTTTAGCTGAAAGTCCTATAATTCTTAATGTGGAAATATTCAAATACCCTCAGGGTGAAGGGTGACAAAAGTGTAGCTTCTGATTGTTGTATGATAATGGAACTGTTTTCTCTGTCAAATAAATTGGTTTCTTGGGTACCTCTCACTAACGTTTCCATTTCTTTTTCCTCTTCAGAGAGCCAGCAATTTAGAGAATAGTACCTATGATCTGTACACCATCCCCAAGGATGCCGACTCCCAGAATCCTGATGGTGGGCGTTCTCTTTGTCTGCCCCTCCTGCTTCCAGCTCTCCACATCCCATCGTCATCCCTCTTCAAGTTTTTCACATTCCATCCGCAGGCCATGGCCACATCACTTATGTCTGTTGGCAGGTGCTGCTGACAGTTGCATCAGAGGCGACCGTGGTGTGAAATATTCATGTTCCTCCATTTTATTACCCCAGCTAGATATATATATTTTATAATTTGGTTATTAGAAGCTCTCCATTTTCTCTTTCAGCACAGCATGTTATCTTAGTTTATTGTCAGATGATATGACTTTCACCCTGGTAGTTTCATTTATTTAAAAATGTGGTTCCAATGTTGCAATGTCTCATCCTGGGACTAGGGATTTATATTCCCCCATCCACTTCCAGATCCGATTTGCTTCCTCTTGCATGTCAGAAAGATGAGGCTGCTAACAGTCCCACACCCCACCTGGGATCCCGGGATCCAGCTGAGACCACTGCCTACCTCTTTCATCACCAGCATTCCTTGTTGATGTCCTTGCTTGCTATCAGAACTTGCTGACAAAAAAACAGTCTCTGAATGGATTTGACTCCAACTATACTCTCTTCAGTGTACTTTGCCCAACGGGTTTATAGATATTACCAGATCAGAGGCTTATACTGCAGGTTCCCAATTATATTAGCATATTTTGATGTTATGGTAGACCTCATCAGCATATTCCTGAGAAATAACTGGCTAGCTCTGTCCCTTTTGTGGCTGCCACCAGGTCATTACTGTAAATATGATTCACTTTTTTCCCCCCCATTTCTCCCATCTTTACTATATCATATGCAACTGAAGGATCAGTTACTGACTGCCTAGTTAGCAGGATATCATCATTCAGTGACTCTTAAATGTGACGCTACTAAGAGAAAACCTAGATCTGTGGTATCTATAAATGACAGTCTCTCCTATAAGGTAGCCAGTGAAGCTATTTTTGACCCAATCTTGTGATTTAGGAACTCCCAACCCACATCTTCGCTTTTTTTCTCCGAATCTGTTTATAGTTTAAACTATCTTTGTTTTATCGCCACTTTTTTATTCTCTGTCCTTTTGAGGGGGATCATAATAAAATGATGGGCCTTGAGGAGGAAGAGAAAGTAAAGGCTGGAGTAAGGTGGTTCCTCGGCCCCCAAATGGAAGCATTGGCTGTGATAATAATTCATATTATAAATTGCCTGCCTCTAGGTGCCACAACAAAACAGGGCAAGGTGACAAGCATGACCTGTGCAGTTTTCTGCTGTACAACAAAGAATATCTTGATGCATCCTGTACAAGTTTCTCAGAAAGTAGAGTGTCCATTTCAAAATTCGAATCAGCCACAGAACTAAGGACCATTCTATAACTTTCCTCAGGATAATAAGGACAGTCAGTTGATATTTCCAGAGCAACAGCTTGGTGCTAAATACTGTCCAACACAGAGCTTGCCTGTCGACATTTGTTGGGAGGGCTCTGCCTCACACGGCCCTACTAGGAGGCCTGCATTTGCATGTTAAAAGCAGCAGAGCAGCTGCGTCCTGGGGAGGGGACTCTCTACTCCAGCTTGTTCAGATAGGAGGTCCTAGAGTTTGACAGGCTGCTTGCTGTGCCACAGCTTGGCCAGGGAGGCCCTGCTCGTTAGCTTGATGGAGTGTGCTGTCTCCCAAGATGGGCAGCCGTCTGCCAGTGGATGGTATTGGCTGTAATGCAGCCACTTGGCCTGTAGAAAAGAGGCTTGGCAGGGGTGGGGGTTGGAGTTTGGAAGGAAGTGATGGGGAAAAGTCACTCAACAATAGCCTCAGGTTATGGCTGAATTAGTTAGGAAGCAGCTGAAATGGCAGAGCCAAGATGGCAGACAGACTGGCAGTTCCATGGCACCTGACTCTGTCACCTGCCAGTGGCTCACCACATGCTTCCGCCCTTTGGTTTTGTTTTCCTCAGCTCCTGAAGGGAAACGATCCTCAGGCCTGACAGCCGTTTGGGTTGCTCGAAATAGGTTTGCTGTTCTAGATCGGATGCATTCGGTGAGTTAAGACTAAAAGTGGAGAGCACTTTGAAGACTCTGGTGTTGACCTCTCTGTTGTCAAATGCAGTGCCCAGTTCTCCCTTTTCTACCCTGAGCACTTGCGAGCCTCTTTCTTGTGTTGGCTTTACTGCTGTCTCCAGCTCTACTCTAATCATGCTAGAGAACATGGTTTTAAAGTTGATTTGATTGAGTCATTACTACTGTGGCTCTGGGTTAAGGACCAAGCTAAATTCGCTCTGGATTACAGAAACAGCATCAAAAGAAAGTGGGCCAGTTGAAGAGTAGATCTCTCTCCTTGTCTTACTGCCTCTATTAGTATTTGAAATGTGGTAGGTCCGCAGCACAAGGTAAGCAGGGCTCTTTCAGTAAAACATTTAACAAAAACCAAAGCCCAGAACTGTTTCATGGTAAGACACACATGTCCTCACTCTCCAGAAGACTGAGACAGGAGGATTGCAAGTTTGAGCCCAGCCTGGGCAACTCACCAACTTTTTTTTTTTTTTTTTGCTCCGAATGCCTTCAGGGTAGGTTTGGCTGGCTGGAGTTGTGGGGATGGAACCACAGCAACCTGAGCCTGACTGCTTTGTCAAAGCGGCCACTTAAAGAACTGAGCTAAGGGGCAGGCCCCCCAACTCACCAACTTAATGAGACCCTGTGAAAATGAAAAGTAAGCTGGGCCTGCTGGCACATGCCTGCAATCCCAGCACTCGGGAAACTGAGTCAGGTGGATAGCTGGAAGTTCAAGGCCGATCTGAACTGCATAGGGAGACTCTGTCTCAAAAATATATAAAGAAAGAAAAGGAAAAACAGCTGGGAGATGTAGCTCAGTGCACACAGCATAGGTTCATTTCCAGTATGGGGCAGAAGCTTGAGATGATCTAAGTGTGGTGATTGAATTAGATGGGGGAAAAAATACTTAGTTTATTGCTGAGGTACAATTGCTGAAGAATGTCATTGGTTTTCCTCATCTTACACACTTCTTAACCTCACCTATATCACTTCAGCTTCTGATCAAGAATCTGAAGAATGAGATCACCAAAAAGGTCCAGGTGCCCAACTGTGATGAGATCTTCTATGCAGGCACAGGCAACCTCCTGCTTCGGGACGCAGATTCCATCACACTTTTTGATGTGCAGCAGAAGCGGTAAGGTTCCCCTACGTGGATAGGCATTTGGAAAAGTGAGCTACGGCAGAGCTCCGCCTGCCCATTTAGCGAGTTTGCACGTGGCTGGACTATTTCTTCTACAACTTGAAGATTCTTTCCAGCCCCTTTTCCCTTCTGTCTTGCTCATACACAACAGTACTACAGGAAGGGGCTTGTTTATAGTATTTGTCTGTTTTAGAGTACTTATTTGCACAAAGAATGCTCTTGGGCCTTACAGTTAAAGGACACAGAGACAAGCGGGCGTAGTGCATGTACTGAAAGGAGCTTTCAGTCCAGGGGTGACTGTAGATATATGCAAATCCCTGAAAATACAAGGAGATGAAGGACAAGGGTTGAAGAAGCGAGGAGTGCACAGTGTAAGCCAAAATATTTTAAGTAACTGAGCTACTTGGCAGGGAGCGTTTATTTGATTTTTTTTTTTTTTTTTTTTTGCGGAAC